TTGGTGGTATCAGTAGATGCAAGGGTGATATTCTGGGCAACCTGCAGTTTCCCAGAGAGGCCATGCATTGTAAGTCTTACAGGTGGCAGTGATGGCATGGACTGTGCCATTGAACTTGCCATGGGTAGAATCATACTGCAGTATGTAGCCCTGGTAGTGGAGATCAATGAAGGGGTCATTGATGGCAACAATATTCACTTTTCCAGAGTTAAAAGCAGCTCTGGTGACCAGTGCCCAATATGGACAAATCCTACTGTGACTTCCATCATCTCAGGGATGATGCATAGGAGGATGAAACTGTCAAAGAAGAGAGCCTGCAGTAAAATGATGAATAGAAATAGTGAGAACAGATATCCTTGCCTTGTTCTTGATCTTAAGGGAAGAGCATTCAGTCTTTCATCAAGCTGTAGTTTTTTTGTAGATGTCTTTTACCAGGCGGATGAAGTTTCCTTCTATTGCCAGGTCACTAAAAATTTTCATTAGGAATTATGATGTTGGATTTTGGCAAGTGTTATTTCTGTATTTGTTGAGATAATCATCTGATTTTTCTTTTTTAGTCTGTTAATATGGTAAATAATGAATATTAAACTTGCATTCCTCCAATAAACTACATTTCATCATGATGTAGTATTCTTATTATGTATTGTTGGATTACACTTGCTAAAATTTTGTTGAGAATTTTTGTATTTATGTTTGTGAGTGATAAATGGATCTATAGTTCTGTTTTGTTGTATATCTTTATTCTCATAGAATACTGTTTTCATAGAATGTTGGGTAGAATTTGTACCTCTTCAATATTTTGAAATGCTTTTTGTAGAATTGGTGTTATTTTTTCTTAAGAGTTGGACAGAATTCTCCATTGAAGTATGGGCCTGGAGGTTTGGTTTTTGTGTCATTCTGTTTTGTGGGGAATGTTTTTAACCACAAGTTCAAATTCAATTTCTTTAATAGATGTAAGGCTATTCAAGTGATCTATTTCTTTTTGACTGAATTTTGGTAGTTCCTGTTTTTTAAGAAACTTGTCAAATCTCATCTAAGTTGTCTAATTAGTATAAAGTTACTCATCTTCTTCTACTACCATTTAATGTCATTAGAATATAGTAATATTGTCTCTCTTCCTGATATTGGTAATTTGTGTCTTCTGTTTTTATCCTGATTTATAGTTTGACTATAAACTTATTAATTTTACAGAGATTTTTTAAAGAGTAATTTTTAACAGTTTCATTGATTTTTCTCTATTGTTATCCTGTTTTCTGTTTTATTGTTTCTGCTCTGTTATTATTTTCCTTTCTTCTGATTACTTTGGGCTTAATATGTTCTTTTTCTGTTTCTTAAGGTAGAAGCTGAGGTCATCAGTTTGGGACCTTTCTTCTGACCTAATATTGTTATTTTAATGTTAGAAATTTTCCTTTAAATAAGGCTTTAGTTGCATCCCAACAGTTTTGATATGTTGTGTTTTCTTTCTCTCTCAGGTCAAAATACTTTTCAAATTCCTTGTTGATATTTTCTTTGACTTATATATTATTTAGTCCTAATATTTAGGGGTTTTCCACATACCTTTCTGTTAATGATTTTTAATTTAATTCTAATGGTGTCAGAGAATACATTTTGAATGATTTGAATCCTTTTTGATTTATTGAGATTTGTTTTATGACCCATGATATGGTATATTTTGGTAAATGTACTTTGTTCACTTGAATATGTATTCTACTGTTTCTGGGTAGAGTATTCTCTAATATCAGTTAGGTCAAGTTGTTTGATTATATTACTCAAGCCTCAGATGCCCTTACTGATTATCTGTTTACTTAGCCTATCAGTTTTTGAGAGAGAGGTGTTGAAATCTCCAGGTGTAGTTGGATAGGTCTATTTCTCTTTGCATGAAATTTTTGTTCCATGTATTTTGAAGTTCTGTTACTGGATGCAAATAGCATTAGGATTGTTATATACTCAATAAATTGGCCTAGTTATCAGTGTGAAATGACTTTCTCTATCCCTTGCTCTGAATATTCTTCACTCTGAAATCTAGTTTATCTGATGTTAATATAGTCATTCAGCTTTCTTTTGATTAGTGCTAGTATGGTTTTTCTGTCCTTTTACTTTTTCACCTATACGTGTCTATCTTTTTAAAGCAGGTTTCTTAGAGTAGACATATAGTTGGTCTTACTTTTTTAAAACCAGTCTGACAATATTTCCTTTTTAACTAGAGTGATTAGACCATTTGTAGTTACCATACTTACTGATGTGGTTATGTTTAAATGCCCACCTTGCTATTGTGCCATCTGTACTTTGTCCCCCGTTTCTGCTGTTTGTTTCTTTTGCCTCTTTTGGATTATTTTTTATGATTTCATAATAATTTATTTTAAATGAATACTTATATTTTAATACTCTGTTCACCTATGGCTTATTTATTCACCAAAAATAATCCCTTAGTTATTTTTATTTATATAATTTAGCATGCATTCATTTAAATAGCTGCTCATCGATTGTTTAGGGAAAGGAGTAGGTGAGTCTTGATCTGGATTTTAGAGGAATGGTAAGATATGTTTGGTTATAGAGAATCTCGTATAGGGTGGTAGAGGACATGATTAAAGGCATAGAGGTGGAAATTAAAAAAACAGGATTGGATGACCTTAGCAGGAGGAATAAAAGTACAAAAACTCTAAGAATATAATAGTAACTTAAAATGCTTCAAGGATTGATTTTTAAAAAATAGTCAAATCCTAATAATCTTAATGAAATTATAAAACACACATACCTTTTACCACTTTCCTGGTTTAACTGTCAGTGTTTTTTTATTCTCAGGAGGTAAGGTACCATTAAATAAAATAAACCATTGGATTGAAATGAAGTTGAGATCAAAATAAAGTTAAAACTTTAGAATTGAGCTATGTTTGAATACTAGTCTCAAGACCTCAATTACCAAAGAAATAATTTAATTTTTATCTCACTTGACCTCTTCACTTCTTTTTTGAACAGTTTCCTGTTTTAAATTATAGAATGTTTTCTCTTCATTTTATTTATACTCCTGAACAACTCTCACTGCCCTTCATATAACCTTTTCCCTCTTCTGGGCTGTTAAATATTGCTAATTATCCATGGTTCTATTGTCTGTCCTAATTTCTCTTATCTTCCTTTTTCTCACCAGGTACTTTAAGATAGGTTCATGAGAATTTCAGTGAGGGCTGAGAGGTTTTCAGATTTTGATGCTTTATACTTGGAGCTATCTATCCATCTCAGGTTTGAAATTTTTTTTAACCAGAGATTGATAGTTTTTTAACTCTCAACCTTTGAGAGAAGGTTTCACATGCCCCCATGTACAAATTTTCCACTTGAGGTATTTGAGTCAAATGGCTTTCTTCTTAAGAGTCTAATGTCAAGCACTCCCATTATTTTACCTTCTATTTAATAACTTGTTCTAACAATTTTTGAACTATGGTCTAGAATATACATGCTGGTACCAGTAGTGCACTAAAAGAGCTTTATAGTTATTGATTCATTTGATCCTAACCACACTATAAGGTGGTACTTATTATTATCATCTCTGTTCTTATAGATAAGGAATTGAGATTCAGAGAGGTTAATTACCTTACTCAGGGCTACTCTCAGCAAGTAATGGAGCCAGGTTTTGAATTCAGCCTAACTGTAGGGCTATGCTTCTAACGTGCATCATCATAGTCTTCTGGAGGGCTTTACATACAAGTAAGTATGTCAGATACCTAAAAATTCAGTGTCTCTAAACCTGAAGCCATTGTTTGCTCTCCATGTGCACTGTCCTGCCCCAAGAAGATTTGCTCCTCCATTTCACATCTTACTTAATGTTATTTTCCTTTCGGTCATCTAAGCCTGAACGCTGAGTCATTCTAGACTTCCACTTTCTCCTCCTGTCACCTGGTCCCTACGTCTTGTTGATTTGTCCTTTAGTTAACTGTTGACTAGGTATATTGTACTCATTTTCATTGTCCCACCTTGGTTTAAGTCTCTTAAGATACCTTATTTGGAATAGCTATTCATTCTCTTCTCTGAGATGCCTGTGTATTTTCTGGTATGTCAATTATCTTACTACTTTGAAGTTGTTTATTGTGTCTATCTTTTCCATCAGACTCTATTCTTATAAAGAAGGACCGTGAACTCTGATTTTGTACTCTCAGTGCCTACCTTAACATGTGACATACAATGACGTACAATTGATGTGCAATAAAAATTTTGTGAATACATGAATTTGCTTGTTGTTAGAGGTTAGTTTTGATGGCCTTAATGTTGTCATGAACATCAGATAAAGTCAATTTCTGTCTACCTTTTGGAAAAGTGTATTTCAATGTCTTATTTTTTGAAAAGCTAAAAATAGTTTCTATAGTTGTAATGATCGAATATACAACAGACTCTTTTATATAGTTACATGTTATCTCCAGAATATATTGTATAATAAAATAACAACTTTAAAAATATTAGAATCTTCTTGTGGTTTATAACAGTTGGTTATAACACCTTCAGTTAGGTTTCAAGTATGAAATACTTATTATATTTTCTTGGTAGCAATTGAACAGCAAGAAGAGTTCATATTCTTCTCATATGCAAAAATATCTTATAACTTATATAAATCACTGCCATCTCAGAATGTATATTAAAAGGGAGGAGGCAGGTGACATGAATCTTTATTCCTTGGTACAGAATATAGTAACTGAATGATAATTGCTTCCAATATTTAAGTAATGATATAAAGTAAGAGGGAATTTTTGGATCCAGATTTTAATACATGGCAATTGGCTTGCATTTGCTAATAATTTCTGAAGGTAGTAGTTTTATTTCCTAACAATTTCCCTGCATCAACTAAATGAAGTTACTTTTCCAAGAGGTATGAATGAAAGATGGCACTCATTTTCTACATGACTAAAATTTTCATATGCAACATTCTCCTGGCTGGAGGACTATCAGTCTTCGTTTTGTTATCCAAAGCACTATTTTGCTAAACTGTTAACTCTGTGCTTGTGCTTTATTTGCAGCATCTGGCGAGGCCCCAATGTGAACTGCACGGACAGCTCCGGTTACACTGCTTTACACCATGCAGCCTTAAATGGACATAAGTAAGTGCCATTTATTTGGACTGGAATCCTTGTGTATTTCATTACATGTGATGAAGTTAATTATGTGTGATGCTACCTCTCATGTTGCCATGAGTCTCCTGGGCTTGGATGAACTCGGAGAGTTACGAGGTGGCAACACAGACAAGTTAAACTTGGTAGGAATGTTGCTGAGGATGATTATGTGCAGAGTGTAAACTGAGAGAATTGCTCTAAAATAGTCAAATATTGCACAGGGAGAATGAGAGAGAGAAGTGACAGGATATGTTAGTTACATGTAGCTTTGGGGAGGGAATGAGGTAAAACCACCTAACATTACCCTACCTTTTCTTGGTGTCTTCGGCTAACATGGGAGTATTCACTAGATTCTTCTTAGACTTGCATTTACTAGTGTAACAGATTCTTGCTATTATGACCATGGGCACTTACATGAACCACTTCAAAAATCCTTCAACTATAGCTAAAATGCTTTTTTTTTTGATCATCCATTTCTAAGGGTTTTACACTGGTTTAGCTTATGAAATTATGTTTCAAATGATGTGATAGTATTCAGCATAGAGAGTGAAAGAATGTGTAACCATAACCACCCTTCATTTCCAGTGTTTTAGCTGGGTAACCTAATGGTTTGGGGACAGAGTCAAAGGGTGAGGAGTCTTCTGAAGGACGCACATGTTGTCCTCCACCATCGGAAGTAGTGACCTTCTGTGTCTCCCTTCTGTTTTTCTTTTGCTCTAATGATATAAGTTAGTCTTCCCAGATGTGGATCATTTCATTGCTCTCTTGTTGTTTAGATGTGGTAATTACTGCATTAAAAATGCTAGTCACCTTTCTTAAAATAAACATTTCTTTTATCTATGAATTAAGACACAAGGGACTTGGTCATACTTGATCACATTTTAGGGCCTTAAAGTTCTCATACAAGAAACTTATCATGTTTGTCATTATTTATCATTATGACTTTTTTATCTTAAATCTTATTGCATAAATCTAATGTCATTAATGTTTGGATATTCAACCAAATTATATAAAATATCATAAATAATGTTTCATCACTTGGATTCCTAGTATTGGAATTCCCAAATTGTATTTCTTTTCATCCAGTTCCTACTTTATACCATCTTAGAACCTTTTATTTTTCTGGGTCTTTTTCAATATATTGCAGTCCTTCTATAGAGTAGAAAATGTATCCAGATCCATGAACCTTTTAAAGGGATTACTGTTTATTCTTTTTTGTAACTGGGTCATTGGGAATGAAGCCATATGAAATCAGCCCAAGGTATACAACAGTGATGGCTTCTGTGGCCACCTTATTTGTGGATGCAGGGGAGATTCCAGTCAGGAAGACAAGCTAGCAAATCCAGTGGACAGAAGATCTTGGGCCTGAGCATTTGAGCCACACTTCTTTCTCATTTTGTCTCCACTTGGCATTATAAGCACTTCTCAAAATAATGCTGACTGAAATTGGACTAGCATTCATATCCCTCCAATGCTCAGTGTTTAGTAAATGTTACTGATTTATCAAGGCCTATGAAGTTCCAGCATTGAGAGATGTTTTCTTGTGGCCCACTGAATAATTATTAGTTTCTATTGGCAATGCACATAGTGAAGATAATTTAAAAGAGTTGAAGAAAAATCATTAAGATCATCATAAAGAGGTGGTTTGACTAGATATCTTTTAAGATTTCTTTAATTGCAGATATTCTTTGAGACATGTAGCTCTGCTTTGCTTTTATCTGAAGAGTTCATTTATCTTTTTAATACTTCCTAGAAAGATTTTGCTCAGTGTCATTTCATAGACATTGGAAAAAAGCAGGAAAATTCTAATCCCATCTTCGCTAGTTATGTGACCTTGAGCCATTTAATTAACCTCTCTAGGCCTCAGTTCAATGTACTGAATACATAGGCTAGGTATTTTCATTGTTTCTTCCACATTTTATTATATACTATTTTGGTGTTTGGGGAAAGGGTGTTCCTGTCCGGTAACAAATTCCCGTATGAATCCAGTGAATCTGCAGTAAGGCAAGGAGAATACTGTTTTTATTGCTCATCGCTTGCTTGAATTCACTAGCCAGGCCCAGCTCTGCCCGAGGCTCACACTCTCCCCAAGTCCTTTCTCCCCAGTCCCTTCTAGCAAAACCTGCTCCTTGCTATGTTTCTCTGCAGCCACAAGGTGCCCTCTACTTCTCACCCCTTGTGGGACGAGCTCCATGGGTGGTTCCTGGTGACTGGCAAATGCCAGACCAATTACATACCAGGAATGGAGGGGAGGAGAAAATGGCTCTATTCTCTCCACCCCTTACTAAGGCCAGGCAGGAGATTCTGGAAATCCTGCCCTTTACCTCACAACCCAAACTTCCAGAATTCTTACCTTTCAGTCTATGCACCCTAAATCTTTCGCAGTGGCCCCTGTGCAAGAAAGCTGGAGAACTGTGACCAGACTAAAAATGTAAAATAACAACAGAAATTATGATATAGAGAGCAATAAAATCATGACAGTCTTCAGGCCTGAGGATCCAGCAGGGTTCAAAGTCCTACTCAGACTAAGTCCATAGCTCACCCATTCCATGGGAGGCCAGCAGCTGAACCAGCAGGGAACTCCAGGCACACTCAGCAAGCAGCAGCTATGGCTAGGGGGAATGCCCAATCCACAGGGACTGTAGAAAAGAATGACTTTAAAGGCAACAAGATACATGTTTTAATGACAATAGCATAGGCAAATCCAGGTAGGATACATGCAAGAGGGAGGTCCTGTGATAGGACAGTGGCAGGAATGGGGTCCTGTCCTGGTCTAGCATACCAGACCTTCATGCCTCTGCCTGTGGGAGTTATGAATGGGGCTATATAGAAGACTATGGGAGGGAAGGCCATAACGACAAAACAAAACTGCCCCATAAGTTGCTCTTACCTTCCAGCCATTTTGTGTACAGTACTGTGATCTTCGGGGGCCACTCTATTGTTACTCCAGGAGCACACAGGAGGCCAGCTTCCAGGCCTTGTCCCCATGGTGTCAGAAGGGCCAGCCATCACTGGTTTATGTGTCAAATGTCCAGGCCCACATCCACTCAACAGAGTCCCCAGGGTTGAGTATGGTTGGAGCTGGCAGCAGAATGTTGTTCTGCTGGTCAAATACCAGCTTCAGTAATCCCTCAGTTTGCTTGTACAGTTGTATAGGAGAGACAGCAAGGTGTGTTAGCATATCCACAGGGCTCCATGCCCCCTTACAGGACTTCTCATACAAATGCTGTAGCACTGTCCATAAGCGGACTGACCAGCCCCGTAGACTATTGGTGCCTGACTTCAGGCCATATCTCAACAAACCATTGTACCTCTCTATAATACTTGCCCCAGTAGTGTTACATGGTGCATGAAACTGCCACCTTATACCTAGTTGTTGCACCTATTCTTGTAACGTTTGTCCAGTAAAGTTGGTGCCTTGATTGCTGTCAATCACCTGTAGCCAGCTATAGGCTGCAAAGAGACCCTCTAGGCTACTTTTGGTTGTTTTGCTGATCTGCATAACATACAGGAAAAACAACCAGCAGTTTTATAGCTGTGTCCACACAAATCATGGCATACCAGTATCCTTCTGATATGGGGAGAGACCCAATATAGTCTATCTGCCACCTGACAAGGGGTATCGGCCTCTTTACTATTCCCCCATGTTGCTGCAGGACTTGGTGTAAGTCCCTCTTAAAGCATACAAGGCACTCTTTCAGGCTCGGCTGACTTCTTCAGAGATCAACGCAAGCTCCACTGATGGGCTACAGCCCACATTGTCTTTTGCCCCACATGCAACAAATGCTGATGTAACCATTGGACTACATCAGAGGCAGGCTTTCTTCTGGCCAGCACACCTGGGCCAATGTGTCTGCTTCATCATTCCCTAGGAAAGTCAAAGGCAAATGGCCAGCCACATGATATGCAGTAACTGTTTTAGTCTGACCAGAGGCCTATAGGTCTCGCCACAACTCTTGCCCCCAGGGGCCAGTGACCAGCTATCCAGTTGGCATGGTATCATGTTGGTAGCCACAGGGTCAAATCCCAGTAGTCAGTCCGGCTGTCAGTGCAGACTATAGTGGAGGGTTCCTGGGTGATCATGAGCCCACTGCCTGCAACTCAGCCCATTGACTGCTCTTCCCCTCCCCATCCTCCTCCATATATCTCAGTCTTAGGTATAAAGCCACAACCCTCCACTTCAGGGACTGCCCATGACTGGAGCTGTCTGTTAATTAAGCATTTTCAGGTACTGGGGCTCTTCTCTCCCAGTAAAGACTCTCTGTTACTAAAGGCTCCAAGGCAAGTTCTCCCTGCTTTCCACCAGTGGATGTCATGGGCCATAGTAAACATTGGAGTTCTCTACTTAAGGGGCTAGTGGAGAGGGTGCTACACTGCTCTAAATATGTGCTCCGTTTGGCCAGTGTTGGCATCTGTGCCACACCACTCCATGGCCTTTGGGTCCAGTCTCGCACCCACCCCTCTATTGGATCGGTGGTTATTACCTTGGTCAGAGCTGTTCCAGTGATGGGCTCCATAGCCAGCAAGGCGTGGTACACAGCAGTCAGTTGCTTCTCTGTCAAGGTGTACTGGATCTCTGCTCCTTTCCATAGTTGTGGCCAGAATCCAATAGATTGGTAGGTCTATTTAAAATGCTGCCAGAGGCAGCACCCACAACCATCCTTGGTTATATGAACAACTAGCTCACAGGGCCTTGATGAGTCCATTAAACTCAAGGCCTGTATGGCCTGACAGCTTGCTTGTGGCCTTGACAGCTTACTACTTGTGGGCAGTAAAAGCAGCTGCACATGTTTCATCCCAGTCCCAGCTGATGCCCTTTCACAGCAACCAGTATAAGGGCCTTAGAATTTGTGCCAAGTGCAGGATAAACACTCTACAGTAGCCCAAAAGACCCAAAAACTCTTGTAATACTGCCACAGTTTTAGGGGTAGGGAAAGCCTAGACCTTGTCTGTGACTGCTTGTGGGATACTTTTAGTTTTACCTGAAC